GTACAATTGCAGTACTGATTCATGGTGTATTCCTGAATCAGGGATGACTTTCGCTGCAATTTCAACCCGGGCGTCCATCAGAAGTTTGGAAACCTCAAAAATGTATTGTTTAGTATACCTCCTCAGTGCATGTTTTTTCGTCATGCGCTGGCGCCGACTTTTAAAAGAAACTACTTGGATAAATTTTTAGCAAGCCCGCTCCGAGTGCTCATGGATGAATAATATTCCATTATATTATCATTTTATTGTCCTAATCTATAAATTCACAAAAAAAATTATAACAATAATTTTAATTCCAATTTTTTTGTGTATCAATAGAACCCAATATATTTGATCGGTTATAACGGATTTTTGTAGAAATATTTTTGATAAAACTTAGAAAGATGTTTTAAAATTATCTCAATTCTTGTTCCTGTTTAATTCACTTGCTACTTTTTAGGTTAGATAACTTTTCACATTTCACATTAGATTTTTACTATTTTTAACTTTTCTCATTTTTTTTCATTTCATGGCAGTTTAAAGTTTTGAATATTTTATGTTATTAGACTCAACATTCCCCCAATTTCCTCTTCCCGTTCAATTCACCCTATCCTACGTTCAATTCACCAGCTCAGTAAAAGCAAAAATAAACATTTTTGGAACTAAGCAGAAAATGGATTAGAATCTATTATAATGGGCTATCTAGACAAAAGTAATCGATTTCAGTGTCAATCCAGACAAAAGTAATCAGTTTCAATAGCTTATAAGGAAGTATCATGGATTACAATGGGTTTCTCCCAAAAATAATCAAAAATATGACAATAAAATTATTTTCGTGGCTTGAACTTATGAGACTGCTTCTATCAAGCTTTCATAGTCCGACTGCTCTTTAACGTGTCAGATATATTTTTAGTCTTTTCGGGAATATTTTCTCCCACATGCAATTTCAAGTAAAAAGTGATATATTTGCGCCTATCAAATAGATTTGCGAATCAATTGGCTCAGAGAAGGTCAGTTCGCTATAATAATAGAAGGAGAGTAATTTGTCAACTAGAAAGTTGGAATGTTTGGGCAAATTTATTGTCCCAAAATGACAGATTTAAACTCACGCATGATTTTAGAAAAATTGAGTTAAAATAAAATTTAATAAGTTTGCAGAAAAAATTTCGCAAAAAAGTTCAGTGAAAATTTGAAGTTTACTGGAAAAAAAAAACACGAAGAACAAATATCAATTTTGTATCAAGGCAAAACCGAAAAATTTAAGGCAGCCGTTTTTCAATCTCAGATTTTTTTCATTTTTTTTTTCGTTTTAAGCTTAATATAATTCGGTTTTGTTTAGAACAATTTAGGCAGCCGAATAATTTAACATATCTCTTCTTTATGCATCGATGCCATAGATAAATTCTTGAAACCACTTAACAGTTGTCTGAAAGTTTAACAGTAACATTCAATTTTTAAAGCTTAACAGTTTTACCAGAAAAAATTGTGGGTGGAAAATCTTTTGATATTTGAGCTTTGAAAATCAACACCATGTTTTCCGTTTGTACTTTTTGATTAAAACTATGATTTCAATCGCCAAAGTCGGTCTGACAGAAGAAAATTTGAGCAATTATTTGGACATTGTATTAGCTACTAGGGTCAAACATAGCCAAAAACAGTAGTAGAAAAGCCATTGAACCGAAATGAGAAAGCCAAATTGAGAAAGCTGGATCAATGTGTAAACTTTTGACTCAATTGGAAAAGACATTTTTAGATCTAAAACTAATTTACTTGATTTGTATCGCTAACAACTTCTGGGAGTTTTTCCGCAAAAAAACGTGAAAACATTAAGTATGATCTAAAATAAGTGTCTTTGCGGCGCTCCATGACATTTAATAAAACGGAAGGAAGCTAATTAATCAAGGTTTAGAAGTTCAAATATAATTGATGGAAAATTTTTGTGTACACTGAATTTTATGTGATAATTTTTGTTTGTCGGTATGCAGCGATGGAAAAAAGAGAATTATCATCCAAAGTTTACCAAAACATACTGCCAAAAAGTGAGTTATGGCTCCTGATAAACGGTATGATTTAAAGATTCAATCTACACTGATACCAAATTTGAACTGGACAATTCTACAATACAATTTCTTGGAAATTTTAGATATGTATACGAAAAAGAATTCCAATCGGGAACTTTGTTTTATCCCAGCAGATTCATTATTTTTCTAAAGAATTGCAAAAAGTTTTACTGCCGCATGTTTCAAAAATTGATAAAACTACCAGTTTTATTATTTATCTGAAAATTAGACTCGCATTGAATTTTTCAGTCAACGATGCAAAAACGCTTCGTTTGCTCAAACAGTTTGGCAGAAGTATGCGAATCGCTCGTTTGAAAAACTTGGAGGCGAACTTTTTGCAACTTTCTGTAAATAACATTTAGAGTTTTTTGTCGAGGTCGAGTGAAAATGAGGGTTTGTAGGGAACATCGTCCAGTAAATGTCTCATTTTGCGCACATGATCTTCGACTATTTCTGGGATCTCTCTGTAGATCATCTTTTCGATGTCTTGCAGCATGCTGGTGGATGGGAGGAGGAGGGAGCTGATGTCAACTTCAGTCAGTCTCTGATGAACTATGTCGATGGGAGGAAACTCACTGAAGGGGCGTCTGCAGAGTTCCTGCGCGGCAGCGAAAATTTTACTAAAAAAGTTAAATTGTCTTCTATTTTTGTTTAAGAAACACTGAGAAAAATATCAAAATATGGAGCTATTTGTTACGCAAACAAATAAACTTTTTGATTACGCTCTATCTTCTGTTGTGAATGATTTCACTGCTATTGCAGATCATAGGGATCGAGTTTTTTTGGCAAATTCAAGTTCTTTACCTGAATAAAAGTCCAAAAATATTTTCTACACCGCACGCGAATTTTTGAAAAAGAAAGAAGCAAAAATTGAAGTTTTGTCAAAAAATTGCGTTTCTGGCGTATGGTCACTGTTAAATTGAGTACCTTTAGATGACCTCAATGCGCCCCTAGCCCCTATTCAAATCCGCTGTAGGCCATGCTTGCAATATTTTGTGTTATATTCAGAACGCAACTTCCGGATAATCGTTTTTTAATAGTCAAGTTATAAAACCATCGTTTATAGGTCTTGGAAACTAAATTTTCAAAAGTTAAACTCAAATGTATACGATGATGTTGAGGTACTTGAGATGTTTGAGGATGAGTTGTTTTCTGAAGTAGGTTCTTTTGGCGACGATCAGTCTGACTATGAAGCTGAGAGTGACCAGTTGCTTGCCCCTTAGCACCAGTGCATCAGCCACGTGCAACACTTTGTGTCTCTGCATGTTACACACATCATTGAAGATTTCCGCATGCCACTGTAACAGGGAATATTTTAAAACCTCAAACGTTTCCAATCCTAGTAGTTGTCCGCTAATTTTTTTCCAAAAGATGTCTAAAAAGACAGTTGTAAAAAGCACATAAAGCACTTTCATAATCAACTTAGCATGTGAAACTATTTGCACTTTTCGAAAACTTGGCTCAAGCCTGGATACTGCTGCCGCTATTGTATTATTCATAGTAGTTACTGCCTTTCCCTCAGTGCTGGTTGCCAAATGTTTGCAAAATGTCCCTCTTTCCCTTTGGTACTATTTTAAAACATACCTTTATGGCCGATCAGCCTCAAACTTTGTCTTGATGTGGCTTCATTGATTTGTTAGTCAAAGGTTTTCAAAAACGGTCTATAAGTGGTGCTTAATTTTTTTTGTTAAACTGGGGTTTTGATACTGTTTTGGGAGAAAAAAGTTTCACAAAATTACATAGTTCGTGAACCACAAAGCATTTTAAAAACCACCAACCTCCCGTCAAAAAATCCTGCATACCTCCACTAACTTTTTCATAAGGAATTTGGGCTGTCTGCTAAATAAAATCAGGAAACCGTGGCTTTTAATAAATTGTATAGACAGAGTTGCACCAACAACAAAATCTTAGTCTCGCAGTAGCTTACATGGTCAACTAAATCTTTGTCTCTGCCAGGTGGCAAGTCA